GCTGACATTGTTGGGCTCAGAGGGTGACCAGGACAGGCCAAGCAAGGAGCCACCTTAATGCTATGCCAAGTCACCAAAGTTGAGACCAGAGCCCTTCATGAGCCCTTCCTGTGGTAAGCTGCTCACAATTGCCATGCCACCTCCCCTTCCCAGGATATAAATTAGCCTCCACACACACACACACAAACAAACTCATTATTTTTGCCAGAATGGGAAATTGAGCCAGGCCTACTTCCCTACCTTGACTTAGGTCAAGGGTCTTTTTTTTATTATTTTATGTTTTGTTTTCAAGACAAAGGTCTCTGGGGGTCCTGGAACTCCCTCTGTCAACCAGACTGGCATCAAACTCACAGGGATCTGACTGCCTACCTCTACCTCTTGAGTGTTGAGATTAAAGGCTTGCACCACCACGCCTGGCCTACTGGGGGGGGGGGGTCCAGGGTGGAAGTTTTACAGAGGAGTGCGGTGCAGCCTCCTGGAAGGCTAGCCCTGCCCCTCGGCAAGGGCGACCCTCCCTAGGCACAGCTGTTCTGTTGAGGATTGGCCAGCCTTTCTCAGCAGTTCTCAGGCAGTGATGTAAGCATAGTTTCCATCCCTTCAAGCCCTTCCTGCCATGAGCACTTTTCTGAACCGGCGTGACTTACGGGAATCAGCTGTGGAGCATGGTCCACTCAAGTCTCTCAAAATAACACAGGCTGGCCACAGGGCGGAAGTTCTCCTGGCAATCCCAGGCCTCACAAAGATGGCTGGGGTGCTGCAAGTACCCTAGGGTGTCCCTACCTGATAGCCGGGAGGTCCCAAGAGAGGGTGTCATGTAGGCTCAAGCTGGGGACCATCTGGGCCTTAGGGAGCCCCATGACCTGCATCTGTGGCTTTTAGTGACCCTCGAGGGTCCTGGGAACCCCAGAGGGCTGGCAGTGTAGGTTGGAGGAGACATCGCAGAGAAACAACTGCTGCTGCCTGGGAATCGCTTCATAGGGGCCAAGCCCACCTCAGCAGCATCCTCTGTGATGCTCTCGGTTTTACCCAGAAGACAGAACCTAGACTCACAGCTAGGCAGGTCTAAAGGTGGGATTCTTGCCCGCGCTATCTGCATCCAGAGGCTGGATTTAATCACAGAGTGACTACATGGGGAGCAGGCAGGCCATATCTTGACACAGTGAGTCTCCTCGAAAGAGCAGAACCTCTCCTTGACCTTTCTTCTTCCCAGCAATCCAGTTTCACTTTCTGGTAGTTTCTATCCCTCAGAAAGCCTGGGGCTCCTCAAGGCTTGATTTTTGGATCATCCTAGCCTCCGACTCAGTCACCCCAAACAAAACCAGGCCCCTCAGGGATATGGAAACACCACCCCCGTGTACATCCCCTGACTGAGCAGTGCTTTTGTAAGCCCCCTACGGGAGAGACTTTTTTTTTTTTTTAAGGCAGGATCCCAGGCTGGCAGAACTCTCTCTCAAAGGTGACCTTGAATTCCTGCCTGATTCTTTTGACCCTCAAGAGTGCTCAGATTACAGGCATGTGCCACCATGCCCAATTTATGGGGTGTTGAGGATTGAATCCAGGATTTTGTGGGTTGCTAGTCAAGGGCTCTACCAATGGAGCTACACTCCCAGCCCTGATATTAGACTTTTAAATCTTGTATCTTTTACATACATTTTAAGTTTTGGCCTAAGAGAATACAGATCCTGCCAGAACAGCAGCCCCGTAACATCGGTAAAGCTAAAAATAAAAACACTTGCGAACATAGTTTCAGCCCTTGGGAAGCAGAGGCAGGCAGATCTCTGAGTCTAAGATTATCCTGCCCGACAGAGAGTTCCAGGCCCTCTGGAGCTATGTAGTGAAACCCTGTCTCGAAAAACAAAAGCAAACTAGACATGATAAATGTTCTGAGTGGTGAGTAGCTGGTGGGGCTGTCTGTACATGGACAGAAGGACCTTTGCCACGCCTGGTCCAGGCCTCACAGCTCCGGACATGGAATAGACTGGGGGTGGCAGTGATGGCCACATTCCAGCTCCCTTCATGAGGTGGGACACGAGGCTGGACTGGGCTATTCTTACTACAGAGCGCTTGCCTCACACAGCAGACACCATAGCCGCTGCAGAGCAGGGCTGCCCCTGAGCCCTGTGGGTTCGCTGTCAGCACCTGCGGCCCCTTCGCCTTATCTCAGCCGCCAGTACAGACCCTGCCCAGACTCAGACTGACTAGAAAAAGACAGTGTCACGAGGCAGGCTACTCTGATGATGGATGGTGGGAGACTCTGGTGGCCTGCTGTAGCTCCCAAGGGGTTTTTGTTTTTGTGGTTTTTCTTTTCTGTGGGTGGGGGGGGGTAGCAAAGGAAGGAAGTGAGATTGGGAATCGAGTGCAGTGCCGCCTCCTGCCCCCTCCCCAGCCCGGTCAGTGATGAGAGGCTCTGCAGGAAACACCTCAAAGTCGCTGAGGGTGCCCCCCCCCCCATGAATGTGGCTTACTGAGCTCTGGGGCCAGGAAGGAAGGAGCCAGGATCAGCAGGCAAGGAAGGAAGAGGGAGAGGCTGGGAAGGCACGAAGGTGACAGGATGGCTGCCACCTAAAGCAGCCGCCCACCAGGACCTCTGTGGCCAGCCTGAGCTCGCTCCCTACTGGCTGCTCCATTCTATGGGACTGAGCCTCAGCACTGAAGGGGGCTTCAGGTTACAAGCTTCAGAGGACAGGAAGGTGCTGAGACAACATGCCCATGTCCCCAGTCTGTCCCACTGAACCAGGCTGGGCCCAAGCCCGGGAGATGAGGGGAGAGAGGTCATCACAGAAGGCATTGTGAGACCAGGGCAGGCAGAGGTTGGGGACTGAGAAACCAGGCTGGTAGATGCTTTGCTTTGAGGTTGAGGGGTGATTCCAGGCTCCCCTGCTTCTGAGAGGAGCGAGAGGCGGGGCACAGGCTCTGCCCTGTGGGATAGGTTGGCAGTGCCAGATCCCGTAAAGACAGGCATGTATACACACGCACACGGCTTTCCAGCCAGCCAATTGGTCAGTGAGTCTCAAGATAGCTCTGAGAGACCGTTTATGTCCCCTCAAGCTTGGCCTGGACGCAGATGGCCATGAGACACCCTAAGGAGTCTCTGTGGGTAGTGGGTGTAGGAGGGGGATGGGAGGCTCCCAAACCGTGCTGGTCCCAGGGCTGAAGAGCCATCAGAGTTCCTCTGTTGAGCCTGTCCTCTTGCCCTCGGTCTCCCTGACTGTACCTTTGGCCTCCTCTGGCTCCCGCTGACTGAGCCTTGGGAAGGCAGGCCCAGCCCCTAGTCACTGCCAGGCTCATTGGAACACACGCTGATGGTCCTTGCACAAGGTACCAGCATTCTAAATGCACACTTCCAGCCAGGAAACCCAGACTTCCTGTTTCCATTGAGGAATTTCTAGACCAAGGCTCTAAGAAGGACTAGGCCCAAGTCCATCTCTGTGCGGTTCTGATGCTGCTCAGCCATGGGCACTTCCTCCTAATTTCTCCTTACCAGTGATGCCTACCACCTCCCATTCCATTCCCCTGGCTTCTGGCCTCATGGCTGCATCCTCATTCACCATTGATGTGTAGATTATGGCCTTGGTGGGTCATGGAGTCACAGGGAGGTCAGAGGCCTGGCTTCATAGCTAGCTCGGGTTCCACCCTCCTCAGCCAGCTCTAGGCTAGCTCCTCTGACAGCATGCCCATTTCACAGCTGGAAATACTGAGGCACAGTCAGGCACCAAGACTTGCCTATAGAGTCATCTGGACAGTCAAAGAGCTAGGACCAACCTCCCTTTTCTTTCCAGCCTGGCTAGAAAGCCCACTCAGCCCAGAGGCTCGGGTAGAGCAGGACAGCCAGGATGGGGCCTGTTGGACCTGGTGAGGCCTGGGACTCAGGTAGGGTTGGGGAGGGAGTGGGCTCTCTGGGGAGAACCTGGTTAGAATCGGGCTTTCTGTTACCTCTCAGAACCCTGTCTACACTGCCAGCAGGCCTCTGATGGCCACTGAGGGGCCCCTGGGGGACGAAGCAGGGACACTGACCAGTGAAACACCATTTTCCCTCCTCTGTGACAGAGGGAGCCTCTCACACCCTGAACCCCAGGTTTTGAGGCATCAAGGCCACTTACCCTCTACAGACCTCAGTCTCCCTCCTAGCAGGAAGGACTGGCTACCAAGGGTCAACAGGCACAAGTTCCTGGCCTTCACCTCTGGCTTTGGAGCCTGGGAACCTCAACAACTTCACTTCCTCATTCCTGCCCTGCCTCTCCCTTCCCCCAGGCCTGGATCTCCCCTGCTAGGGTGGACCTGCCCCTGGCTCCCATCCCTGATACACAGTGTGGTGGGGTCCTGGTGGATGCTCACACTGCCCCTCATGCCTGCTCCTAGGAGGAGCCAAGAATTCCCAACACCCGTGCCAGGGCTCCCAGCGGACCCAGACACGGCTCTGAGCTCCAGCCCTAGCACAGAGAGGGGTCTGGGAGAGCAGGAAGGATGCCTGGCCCGCTCACCGCTCACAGCAGCCTTTTGGAACACTGGTCTCAAGGAAGGAGATTTCACTGGGCTTTTGGGACCCCAGGCCACCCGCAGTTACCTGACCCCTCACAAGCTTGAGTGAGGGGCAGGCCCGGCGCTGCAGTGGAAGCGTTCTGGGGAACAGTAGGGTAAGAAGACTGTCACAGCCTGTCAATCCCAGCTTAGCTCTCATCTTCCCTGCAAACTGGAGCCACCAATGCAAAGAGGTCCCTCCCTTGCCCCTCAAGGCCAGACAAACCTATCAGTTATCTAGAGCACATTAGGACGTCTCCTGGAGGTGTATCCAGGGCTGAAACTACATGGTTACCTTCCCATCCACGTGACTTTATTGCTGGCAAGTCCCTCCTACCTGAAACGAAAACCGCAAGCTGCCGAACCGGTGTGCACGGGGGCTCAGGTTGCCCAGAATGGGGCCGAGCACTGCGCACCCTTTCTGGGCAAGCCCAACTTGGTCTCTGAGGCTAGGGAGGCTGGAGTCCAGGTGAAGGCCTGGCTTTGTTCTGTTGTTGCTTTTTAAATTTTATTATTTTTACTTTACATACACGCAGGAGTCTTGCCTGTGTGCTCCTCTGCACACAACACAAGCGCATGCTCACAGGGACCAGAAGAATGAGTCTGAGCCTCTGGAATTGAGGGATCAAGCTGCCTACTGCCATGTGGGTGCAGGGAACACAAGCAGGGCCCCCGGAAGGAGGGGCGCCTGTTCTTCAGCTCTGAGCCACCGCGTGGCCCCCGAGGCCTGTTTTGGTCTGCAGCTACAGGCAGGAGCATTTCCAGGTCAGGACTTGCCTCCGCCACCCCATTCAGTCACTGACCAGCTGGCCACGGAACCTTCAGCCTCACCTCTCCCAGCCAGCTTAGCTTGCCCAACCTCAGGCACTATTTTAATTCGCATTTATTTTTAGGATGGCCAGCTTCTCACGATAGCGGGGTTGTGCTGAGCAGTTAGAAAGTGAAGTCCCGCAAGCAGCCTCAGCAGCCCCCCAAAACTCCCCCGCAAATGCCTGGAATGCCTCCACTCTTGGCTCCCCCTGGCTGAGCAGCCAGGCAGCTGAAACCAAAAATTCCATGGCTCCAGGCTTCATTGCTGAGGGTAGGGCCAGAGTGACTCACTGGGCTGCCAACTCGGGGTCAGCCAGGCTCCTGCCTGCCGTTCAGATACAGGCGATGAGGACGTCCACAGAGGCGCGCACTTCGATCTCCTCGAAGAGCACCGGGGGCGGGGCGGGCCTGCTCTCGCGGGCCGCTCGCAGCAGGTCTTGGCTGTGCTGCAACAGATTCTGGTTTCGACGGCGGCCGAGTCTGCGCAGCGCCAGAATGGCCAGAATGTGGTCGCGCCTGTGAAGAGACGGGGTCTTCGCTGCAGAGTGGTACCCCCTGGCATCCCCCCGGCCCTCGTTCCACCCCCAGGGAGGGCAGGAATCCAGGCCTGGGAGGAAGCGTGATTCACCCAGCATTCCTGGAGCTGGGTCGGAGACACTTTCGAAAGGCTGGGACTATCCCCGGCTGAGCCGGGACGGGCCCTGGAAGGAGGAGGGATCGTGGACCTGCGGGCGCACAGTAACTGCATCTGGAAGCACACAGCCATGCACACAGCCATGCACACAGTGCAAAGAGAGGCACGCAGGCGACCCAAGAAATCCGACCTGGGGAAGGCTCCAGAAACGGGCGGAACACTAGGGAGGTAGAGGCCAGGCCAGGCCAGGCTAGGCGGCCTGCTGGGGAATGTTCTCACAGTGTGCAAAGCAGAGAGGGGCTGTACGGGGCAGGAGAAGGGGGCGCGGGGGGGGGGGCGGGTGAAGCAGGTACAAAGGGCATCCTGAGCCGCTGCCTTCCCGCTGGTTCCCCAAGCCGCTGTCCAGGGCTACCCCTGGAGCCAGCCAGGGAGGGCCACGCTCAGGCTGGGGAACCCCTATGGGCCGGCGGTGGGGAAGCTGCAAACTTAGAAGGGGCCTAGCAGGGTCGTCATCTAGATCCAACATACGGCAGAGCATAGAGTCTGAAAGCGGCAGGGAGCCAGGGAAGGGGCTGGCCCAGGGGCTTTCAGCGGCCTCTCCATCCTGGAATCTCCGAGGGCGCTGAGAGAGCCCAACCGGGATTTCCTCGGGGTCCGGTGACTCATTGCCCCACAAAAACCCGGGATTCGAGCCTCCTTCCGGCTGTCGAGGCCTCAGAGTGCTTCCAGAGAGGGTTTTGAGCCCGAGGGCGGGGGCGCATCGTCCCCATGGTGGAGAACTCGAGGGAGAATGGCCCGCTCCACTGCGCTCCCTGTGGCCCTTCCTCGCGCGCATGCGCACACGCTTCCGTCGCGGTTAGCTCCCCCACTAAGGCGGTTCTCTCCGCCCCGACAAACCAACAGGACTCTATAGAGGGCGCGAGCGCCAGGCCCAGTGGCCCTGACTCTCGGTCAGGAGCGAGCGGGTGAGGAGGTCTGCGAACCTGATGTCGGGGTAGCTCTGTATAAGCGTCTCCAGGTGCCGCTGGATGTCATCTTTGTACGTCTCGCCCAGGATCTCGGCCACGCACAGGATGGCCTGGTCCAGCCACGTGGCTTTAGAGCCCTGACGAGACAGGGAGATGTGTGCTGTGGCCCACCTCCCCAGGGAGTCGCTGCCTACAAGCCCTCCTTTAGTGTTCTCTGCTGCACCATCCCACTTCCCATAGTGAGACTCCGCGGAGGCAGGGGACGAGGGGCGCCTGCAATGGTTCTGGGGAGATGTCTTCCTGTCTGCACAGACGGGAAATCCGAGCCCTGACCAGGCCAGTGCTGACTGGGACCTGTCACCAGCAGCCTAGATTAGGGGTGTGGGCATGGCTTAAAGTGCTCTGGATCCCGAGGGGGAAAAGCCTCCCACAGATCTTGCCCATCTTAACCTTCACTCCTTCTCCTTCATCCACAACTGTATGCAAATGTAATGTAAAGTGACACCCCCACCTTGGCCTGCCCCTCTTAGGTTCAGACCTCTGCCATCTTCCCTGTGGAGTTAGAACTGCCTGGCCACCGGAAGCTCCAGTACCCGCTCCACACCCATCTAGGGGTTCCTTACAGGATGAAAGGAAATGAGAATAGGGGGTGTCTGGCCACAGACTGAGTCGCTGCTCCTACCAAGCCCTGGAAGGTGCTGCTAATGGCCTGGGCATCCAGGTTCATTTTGTGGGAGGCATTGACGCGATCCAGGCCGCTGAACCTCTCGTGGGGCCTCAGCACCTGCCCCAGGTATGCTCGGACCACAAAGCGGTGCAGCTCCTGAAGAGTGCCCTGGGAGAGCGAGGGTAGGGTCAGGATCCCAGGCACGGCCCTGCACACCCCTGGCAGCCACCCACTTCCGGGTACCTGGGCCAGCGGCGGGGTCACATGCTCCAGGTGCTGTGCAAAGTCCACCACCTTGTCCATGAGGGGACGCAGCGTGTCCAGTGTGAGCCAGCTCTTGGTATAGAGCGCCTTGAACAGTGGCTGGGGACAGAGGGGCAGGGGACTGAGTTCTGCTCACCATTCCTAACCCCTTCACCGCCGAGTTCCTTTGTGCCACCCTCTTTCCCAGGCACAAGTTTTATCACTGGGCCTTTCTCAGAAAGTGAGGGAGTGTCTTGCAGCCCTTTTTAGGGGGTGTGCTGCAGATAGCCTGAGTGGCTGTTCAGAGGGCTTCAAGGCCTTCCTTCTTGGCCCACCATCCCAGAGCTCAGGTTGATCAAGAGAGAAAGGAATTGTAGTAGGTGTTTCCCAGCTGCCCCTGCTCAGCTGAGAACTCACTTAGGGCCGTGACCTAGAGCCTCAGGGAATAGATGGGCGTCCACTAGGTGTGGAAAGTGTCCAATTCACCTGCATGTCTTGCTGTACAATCTGGAGCAAATGCTTCTGGAAGCTGTTGGTGGCAGCCACCAGGGGCTTCTCCAGTTCCTTCATCGTCCCTGGGAACCTGGCCAGGAGGCTGGTTCTGGGGAGAGGATATCTGATATGTGATCCCCGTGAAACGAGTCCTTCGACCCCGCCCTCCCCCCCCAAAAATGGTCACAACCCACGGGCCGAGAATCACTGATTTAGGCTGTGCTGTGGAGGGCAGTCCCTGGAGTTGTGCAGGACTGAATGAGAGGGCAACGTAAGGCCCCGGAGCCAGTCCACTCTGGCAGCAGGTGGCAGCCCGGCTCCAAGCCATAGGCCCCATCTGGCAGCCTTGGGACGCCCTCCATGCCTCTTGGTGATGGGACACTGTAGCATGCCACGCCTGACGCAGCTCTCCACTGCGCTGCGTCACCGCTCCGAGGAGGACACTTATTTCACTGCCGGGAAGCTGAGCACCAGTGTGACCACACTTTGGACGCGGGCAGGCCTGGTTCAGCTCCTAGCTGCGCGGCTTCCTGGCTGCGCCATCACCCGCTTGTCCATCTGTACCAGGGTTCCCTGGCCTTGGGAAGTCACCTGGGCAGGGGCGGGGATAAAGCAGGCACATAGCGCCTGGTGTGTCTCGGTGCTCTCAGAGAGCTCACAGGGACTGAATCCCCACGCCAGAGGAATCAGGCTCTGGCCTTGTTAGAAGAGGAAAGAGGCGAAGAAATGGCGTGGCTTGTCCCAGGGCCCACAGCCATCCGTGGGGGACGCTGGAATCCCACCCCGCAAGGTGGTCCAGATCACGTGCCTCCTGGATATGGCTGTATTCCCCAGCCTAGCCATGTCTGCGGGGAAGCGGGCGCTAGGTGTGGTCTGGAGGCCAGGCTCGGGAGCAGTCTCTGCCGAACAGAGGGCCTTGCCTTCCGAGGGGAGAGGCGCTCAGGAGTGTCCAGGGTGGGGTTCGGGGAGGGGGGTTCTCGGAGGAGAAGGTAAACCCAGAAGAAAAGAACGGAATGGAATGGAGGGAATGACGGGGGAGCTCAGGGACAGGGCGGCCCTCTCTGCTCAGCCTCCGGTCAGCCTTGAAGCTCTAGCCTCGCTGAGCACGTTTGGGCCAAGGTGAAGAGGGGACGATATGGGGAGGCCTTGGGGAACCCACAAGAATCCACACTCCGGAGGCGCTAAGCTCCCCCCCTTCCCCCAGCGACCGCGGCTTCAGAGCGCTTTCCCTGGGCTCGTGCGCCCCCTGCCGACCGCGCCTGGCAGTGCCCCGGAGCCGGGGCGACCCACCTCAGCTCCGCACACGCGTTAATATAGGCGCCCAGGTACCACTCGCTCACCGCCGCCGACGCCAGAAACGCCTTTTCAAACCTGGGGGCCGGAGAGAATCACTCCTCTGGTCTCAGGTCTGCGCCCGCCCCCATTAGGTCCTCACCAGGGATGAGGGTCTCACACAGCCCACCAGCAGACCCCTCCCATTCCGGCCAGGCCATCGCCCATCCTTCCCGGCCTGAGGATGAAGGCCACCCTCACCTGGGCACAAAGAGGCAGAGCGCGCGCGCGCAGATCTGCAGGGTGGTGGCTTCCAGCTCCGCGGAGATAGCGCCGGCCGCCTTCACGTGCTCAGCCACGAGCTGCCAGGGATGCCACACGCTGAGCGCAGCCAGGTTCGGACCCAGCCCACCCCTCGCCGCAGCGGTCAGCGGCCCCAGTGTGAGCCCCCCCCCCACACACACACACACTCTCAGAGTCCACAGGCAGAACCCAGGGCTGTAACCTCGCCGGGCCATGCGCCCCCTGGTCTAGATCACCTCACACGGTGCCCTCTTGGGATAACTTAGCTCTGAGGGATCTCCTAAACACAAGCCCTTCCTTCGCCCCGTCCCGGGCGCACCATATGAACGTCGATGGACAGGGGCGCGTGGTAGAGGCCCTGCAGCACCTCCCGGTCGTCCTCGCCGGCCTCCCAGCGGCTCTGCTCCAGCCGCAAGATGCTGTCGAAACAGCTTGTGATCTTGGTCTGTGGGGTTAGCGGGGCTGCGGTAAGCTCTCCAGGAGGAAGGCAAGGGCGCCGCTCGCCTTCCAGGCCTCATTTTGCGCCATCAGGGACTAGCGTCATCCGACCCCAGCCACAGCCCCCGCGTCCAGGTACTGCAAACACAACCCCAATCCTCTCAAGCCTCCGCCAGGGCCCAGCCTTTGCAGCCCGGTACCTCCCCAGCCTCACCTCTAGGAAGCTGGTGTAATCACTTTCCAGTCGGGCCCACAGAGCAGGCTCCAGGAGCGGGGGCAGCGGTTCGGTGGGCAGGGCCAGGTCTGGGGTGCCAAGGAAGTCAGGACTGAAAAGCAAGGTGGAGTGCGAGTGGGGGGCGCTGTGAGGACCCGGGCGGGCTCAGATGCTCCAGCAGCTGCTTCCTGTCCCCATCCTGGCTCAAAGTCTAAAGTCATCATTGGAGCCCTGAACTCCACTTCTGTCGACACATTCCATTCCTCTACCCGTTAGAGATCTGTGCCATCACTTCCCTTCCCAGAAGCCTCTGATGGCTGCGCTGGACTTTTGGCACTCAGCTGGCACCAGCTGGGCCTGCTCAGGGTGCTTAAGGAGCTGTTCAGATGGACTTCTGCCAGACTGCCTCAGCGTGAGCCCTGCCCTCATGGTTAGCCTACCGTCGAGCCGGAGCTAACATAAATCAGGGTGTCCCAGACACGGGCTGATAATGGCTTTCGACCGCACAATTCAAAGAGGCCAGGACTTTGGCAGCCTTCTCCCTCACGTCTTCCTGCCTGAGGCAAAGCTGGGGCCTATCCATCTGAGGGAGCTACCCACCCTGGTCCCAGCATGGACCAAGGATGGGTCAGGCTGCACTCTGCGTGTGAATACCCGTCCAGAGGCAAAGCAGGCCGAACCCACGCTGCTCTGGCCGCTCGGCGCGGTGCTCTGCCTGGAAAGCCGCCCTTTGCCAACGCGCTTGCAGCCATCTTATGGGCCAGCGTGAGAGCCCTCCGAGCTTCGGGAACCTGGACATGGGGGGCCCCTCAGGTAAGCCTGGGTGGGAACATGCAGCCTAGCACAAAGGGAAAAGGGACAAAGTCCCTGGTCTTCCTGGTACCCTATCGCCTTTGCCAGCAAAGGAACGGGGGAGAGAGATGGTCTCTGTTACTGTAGCCGTTTCCCATGGTCTCCCGGCGGGTAGTGGCACCCGCTCCTGCCTTCGGCACCCGGGTTCAGGCCTCACCTGCCGTAAACGTTAGCCGCCCAGTCCAACAGCACATAGAGCTGCTCACAGCCGCGGGCGCCCCGCGCCAGCTCCTGCAGGCGCTGGGCCACGGCGCTGTGGAAAGCCCGCAAGTAGGTCTCCCACACCGGGAAGTCGGTGGCTCCGTAAGCAGGCTGCATCTCTAAGCGCACCTTCTGCAGGTCGCGGCGGACCAGGCCGCCGAGCTCGGCCAGAAGCTGAGCCAGGTCGGACGCGCCCTCGGCAGCGCCCGGGGCGACGCCGGCGCCGGCCTGCTGCACGCGCTCCTGGGCGCTGAGCCGCACCGTGTCCGCCCAGAGCTGCCGCCAGTGGCGGGGGGTGCTCAGGAAGTCCCCTCCGGCCTGCGGGGCCCGATGGGCCTCCTCCTCCAGGCGCACCACCTGGGCCACTTCCGCCAGGGCGGCTCGGTCCGCACCTTCGCAGCCCAGCGCCTCGCGCACGATGGCGCCGATCTCGGCCGCCATTCCGTCGTAGTGCAGACAGAGGTCCATGGCGCGACGCGCGTAGGCCGTGGGGTCCTGCGCGAACGTGCGCGAGGCGTTGTCGGCCACCAGCCGGGTCTCCAGGTGCCGCAGCTGTTCAAAGGCCTTCAGCAGTTTCCGCTCAGTGATGAGGTCGGCCACGGATTTGCTCTCTGCAAGCGTGAGTGAGAAGGGAACAATGAGAGAGACCACCATACCAACCTAGACATCCTCTGTGCTTTGGGCTGGGCTGCCTGGCCACTGCCCGATCGTCCTGTGCGCAGCCGAACCGCTCTACCTGCCACAAGGCCTTGCTTAAAAGCACATTAGAAGGAGCAGCGTCAGAGCTCCCTCCAATCCTGGCTGAAAACAAGATGGGGCAGCTCCTGGCCGCACCGCTGGCTGTATTGTGACCAGCACCTTTTACCTTGTACTAACCCCCCCCCCCCCCCCCCCCCTCTGCTGAGGTCGGTGACCTCCTATGGGGCTGTAATTACAGGCCTAAAGGGTCAGAGCTCAGGCTGGGTGTGTCCTGCCCTTCTATCCAGAGCTTTCTGCTGCGCTGTCCCCTTCCTGACTCATGTTCCAGGAGCTCTCTACGCTGCTGGATCCCTTCAGGGTCCAAGTCCAGTTTGCCCTCTCCTGAGCAGCGTCCCCTAGATGCCCCGCCGAGTAATAATGGCTTTCTTGAACCTCTGAGACCCTGCTTCGGTAAGGGGGAATCTGTGCCTAATGCCTGAGTCCAGCTTGCCCAAGGGGCTGGGCTGTGAAAGGCCGGGCGTGGTTTAGAACAGTTCTGCAGTCATGCAGCTCTGGGTTCCAAGCCCACTTCTCTGCCAGCTTAAGGCACCAAGCAAGTCACTTAGCTGAGTATAATGTTTCCCATTTGTCCAGTGGGTGTGTTGGGAGGGGGAGGGCTTCCTTTGGAAGATACTAAAAGAATTCGTGCAGAAGGCAGGATCTGAGTGAGTGAGGCCTCAAGGAGAATCCATCAGGATACCGTGGCTCGGCTCCTGTCCCCTCTACCCCCACAGTGCCTACCTGCCTGGGGTTCCAGATCCTCAGGCCGTGTCCCGGCGGATACCTGCCGGCTGACACCATCTGTAGCACTGGGGGGCTTCTCTGGCCCAGCAGTGACCTGGGGATGCCCCTCAGTCGGGCCTTCATCCAGAGCCCGTCTTAAGGACCGGAGCAGGAATCGGGAGCTTCTCCTGAACAGGCCCGGGTCGTCCTTGGGCCTGTGGGTAGAAGCTGGCAGGCTGGTCCGGAAGAGGGTCCGCTTCAGGGTGCTCAGGCTGGGCTTCACGGTGTCCCCGGGGTGTGCATTTGGCTCCTTCATACTGTTGGATTTCCGGGTGGACAGGGGTAGGCTCTGTGACTTCCCGGGCGCCTTGGGGTTTTGAAGCTCTGGCCCAGGGGTCACTGCCTGTGGCAACGGCATCTTGGCAGCAGGAAAGCTGAGGGTGAGAAAGTAGCTCTAGGAGCCTGGAGCCTGCCCAGCCCCGGAAGCACACACAGAACCCTGGGTGAATTCTCTGGGGCTGGTTAAAACTCAGGAACATGGTGCAGGAAGGCTTGGTCTCTTCTATGGGAAAAGAAATGTTTGCTGGCTACTGGGCTGGCCAGAGCCTTCTGCATGCAAGGGGGCAGCTGCTGTTAAGATGGAGACAGCTACTGCCAGCAGAATGCCTTCCCTCATGCCATGCCCAGAAGGCTGTCTCCCAGGTGCCCACCTTCACTCAGTCTGAGTAGTTTCCACTTGAATTAGAAGGAGTATTGAGCTTGCACATTCTGGGAACCAACCCAACCCTCAACCCCAAGGGCAAGACCCAGAACCCACACCCCAAACTTCTAGGATTTTAGAGTCCAAGGCCTAAACCTCTCCCCATCCCTTCCTCCCACAGCCTCCCTTTAGCCCCTCCGGAGACCTGGGCTCACCCCTTCAGCACAAAAGGCAGGACCACGTCTGCTCAAACAGGGACCTCCTTAAGAAACCCTTGGAGCTGGAGGAGGGCACAATGATGCCCTCAGGCCCTAACCTCAGGCACCCAGCACTTATCTTCACCACACAGCCTGAAGGGAAGGTGGTGGGAGGGGCATCAGGTCTATATTTAACCTAAAGCTGAGGACTCCCAATACACTTCCTACCTACCGCACTTCCCCCTCTTGCCAAACGCCCAGTCTTTACCACACAGAGTGTGGTAGGGGTCTCAAGAGTGTAGCAGACACACACCGCTCAGGCCTCTGACAAGCACCGCCACCACCACATTCCCTTTTGGCTAGCAAAGCCTGGCTGTTTACTTTTCTGACCGTATGTTTAGCTAGGGGTAGAGGAGAAGAGACAGCCTTCCTGACCACTGGGACCTCCTGCCCACCACATTGTGCAAGCCAGACATGGCTGGGGGATGGTACTGAGGCTGCAAGCGCTCCCTGTGCTGACGGAAACTAGGCCGAAAAGGGGGCATGGGGCGCTGGATTGGGGTTGAAAATGGCTTAGTGCCTAGTTGCTCTTGCAGAGGACCCAGGTTCAATTCCCAGCACCCACACAGGCCTCACAAGCATCTGTAACTCCAGTCCCAGGGCAACCATTATGCTCTTCTGACTTCTGAGGGCCCCACATGTGGTGCAGAGACACACACACCAGCAACACACACAACATAAAGCAAAGAAATAGATCTGAAAAGAGAGAACAGAAAGGCTGGATCTCCCCACCTTACCAGATCGAATCCAAGCAGGAGCTAGGGCCAGACCCTGGGTGAGTCAGAAGGAACTGCCCTTCCCTAGGAGTTAAGGCACGCTGGTCAGAGGCCAGCCCCTAGGGTCTAGCCCTCCAGCAAGGCATCCGTCAGCTGAAGCCTGCATTTCTGGAGCTCCAGAGGCCACCAGCAACTTCAAGGAAGCCCAGGGGAAGGAGGGAAGGTGAAGTGAATGGTTGGAGTCTTATCAGCCCTGCCCTGGTCACAGTTCATCATCTGCCTGGCACCCGGGTCAGGGACCCTGCCCCACACAGCCCTGTCTCAGGCACACAGTCTCACAGTCTCTGCCGGCCTCCTCCCTCCCTTCAATGCCGAGTGTGGGAAATGGCACCTGCCCCTGTCGTGTTCTCGGGGTTTCCTGACCACAGGCATGTTGGGAAAGGACAAGGTGAGCTCTGCCTTGGCTGGCAAGAGTTCACCTTTATTTATTAAGCACTGACTGTGTGTCCAGCCCAGTGTCATCACAGATCTGATCCCCATGACAACAAAGCCGGGAGTGTGGCAGGGTTTAGCCCCAGGCCACTCAGCCTGGCCCACACGGGTCTTTCCAGAAGTTCCAGACAACAGTGGGATGGTGTGTACTCCTGGGCACCAGAGGATCAGATGTTACCCCAAAAGAGCTCTTTTCCCTGTGAGGACCCCAAGACAGCAGTTGGACATGGCAGTCCTTGGGGGGAGCCTGGAGGCAGATTCTGAATAGGAGGGACAGCTGGATACATGAAATTTCATGGCAGGCTACACAGAAATCTTTGGGCTCGCTTGTGGTGCTCACCCTCGTATCAAATCAGGCTTGCACTAAAGGGCCGTGGAGACCACCAAGCAGCTCCTCTGGCTGCAGCCCTACCACCCTTGGCTCGTGGCTCTCCGCAGCCACCCAAACCCTGACCTCCCCAGATCCAAATGGGTCACTCCTTTGTTTTAATGCTTCTGCATCCCCTAATGCCCTCAAGCCACCCCAAGCCCCACACTTGGCACCCAAGCACTTCTCTTTCCAGACTGACCATTCTTCGCCTTGTTCTGGTATGCATGCTACCCACAGTAGCTCAGGGACCCCCTCCATCCTGCTGAAGGTACAGTTTTTTGGTCCTCCCTCCAGCTGTGACCCTCTTGGTCCCCTCTCTCTTTAATCTCCAAATTGGACCTGGCTTTCAGGACACAAAGAGTTCCCTAGGGCCAAGGGACCTCAGCTCTGCATCATCTGCTCAATAGCTTCTCAGGGCTGTCTCTCCTGTGGCATAGCCTCTTCCAGGTGTGAGAGTCTGTCTCCTCTCTCTCTCACCCCAGAGTGTGGACTGTCCAGTGTGAGTGGGTGTCCCATCTGAGGCTGGCCTGGCCAAGTGTCATCCTGGGCTGATATGTGGGCTCCACGGCCATGCCTTCCCTCTGTGGCCTCAGGCCCATCCCTGGCTCTCTGTCTCCAGGCCCCACTGCTGTCACTCCCTAAGCTTCAAGATCCTGCAGATCCATGGCAGTCTGGGCCCTAAGCACACCTTTTTATAGGTCAAGCTATAGTACCAACTGCAGGGCCAGGGGCAAGGGCACCATCACGAGCCCCTCCAGCTGTGGCTATGGGCTTAGGTCAAGACTTCCCTTACTTCCAGCCTTGGTTTTTTGTTTGTTTTGTTTTATTTCTTTAAGTTTTAAGATTTATTTATTTATTTATTATGTATGCAGTGTTCTGCCTCCATGTAAGCCTGCATGCCATAAGAGGGCACCAGATCTCACTATGGATGGTTATGAGCTACCATGTGGTTGCTGGGAATTGAACTCAGGACCTCTGGAAGAACAGCCAGTGCTCTTAACCTCTGAGCCATCTCTCCAGCCCTCCAGCCTTGTTTTTGCCCTTTTCTAGACCTTCCCACTTGCACCAGCTCCTACTCTGTCAGTTTTTCTCCAGGACAAACCACATTCTTCCTCTCTACCTATGCTAGGACTGGACTATCCCCTATCCTTCAAAGCCCCAGGAGAGCTGGGCACGGTGGCACTTGCCAGTAACCCCAGCACTCAGCGAGGCAGAGGCAGGTGAATCTCTGTGAGTTTGAGACCAGCCTGGTCTACAAAGCGAGTCCAGGGCAACCAAGGCTACACAGAGAAACCCTGTCTCAAAAAAACAAACGAACAAGCGCAAGCCCCAGGAGAAGCCTCTGTAGGCAGGCTGTAGCTCTTGTGTCTTGAAACTTTCCCTGCAAGCGAGGAGTCATTTCCTGAAAATATGAAACAGGACGAGAAAATATGGTTTCAATCTATCTCAGTGTTCGCCTTCAAGATTTATTAAATCGACAAGGCAAGGAGACTGAGTAAGAGCTGCAAATGCCAGAGGGGACCAGTTCAGATTGCCATTTAAATTAGTTTTATCTGCCTGCCTAAAAATCCCAAGCTCGGCTATTATGGGAATAACAAAGGCGTTTGGTAAACTTCATGTTGATTTTGCAAACACAGTCAGTAGCTGTCCTATCTGCCAGCAAGACCTATTTTTTTTAAAAGACACAGGCTCCCTTCACAGTTGCCAAAATATAAACGTCTCTGGTTGCCATCGCCCTCCCAAGTACAGGCTTCCTAACTTGGCGCACAAGGTTCTCCCTAAGTTTTGTCATGCGTTCCCTGTCACTCTCTAGCCCTCTGTCCGCTCACGGCTCAGTCTTCCTCCAAGCCTTTGTGTGAGTTGCCACTGCTCTTCCAGCTACTAACTCCTCGGGGCTGTACTTCTGAGAGGCCTTCCCTGACCAGCTGAGATGTCTGCCCCTCGGCCGAGAGCCCCAGGGAGCAGGGACCGAGCCTGGCTCAGACCCATGGAGGGTCAGCAAATGTCACGGTGCTTCTATGTGTGTGCCTCTGTGTGTGAGTGTCTGAGTCTGCATGCCTCATGTATGTTTCCGCTCTCTGGTAGTGTGTGTAGCTGTCTATACATTCGGATGTATGGATATCTTCTGTGGCTGAGCTGGCACTCTAGCTCAGCCGCCCTGGGCTTGGCGCCTAGACCCTTGACCAGAAAGGCCACTAACAGAGACAGAGCAGTCTTGGCTCCACACCCACGGCCTCCAAAACCCTCCTACCCTCCTGTCCCACCTGGCTGGGTCATACCTGCTATGCGAAGCAGACAACTGTACTCAGGCAGAAGAGGTCCTGGGCAAGTCAGCCAAGCAGGATCGTGAGACCAGGTCCAGGCGGGAGGCCTCCAGAAGAGTCCAGTTGATTGAGCAGCAGCTGGGACTTCCCAGCTGCAGCACCGCCCAGGCCCACCTTCCAACTAAGACCCCATACTTTCGCTTTCAGAGGAGTTCCGCCCCTTCCAGAGGCAACTGCCTAACCTTTGCTCGGTTGTAACCCGGCAGTTTGCCTGAGCGCGACCTGAGCTGGACGCGCAGAGGCTGGGGAGCGGCAGCTAGGGAGGGCCTTTAAGGAGGAGGTGGGGGTGAGCGGAGGAGAGGCTAGGGAAGCAGAGGTTAGGGGAGGACGCTGGCTGCGGCAGTGGGGGCAGGAGCTGTTGCGGACTACTGAGGACTGTCAGACCCTCCCGCGGCCAGAGGTGAGACGGATGCGGGCCACTCCGCCCCCTAGTGACCAAGAGACACTCCTCTCTCCCGGGAAGGGCTGCCGCTCCAGGCCAGCCTAGGAAGTTTAAGCCAGTACCCGCGATGAGAGGCGAAGAGCAGACACTAAGACCTGTTGAAGTTTTCCGTAAAGCCTGGAGGAGCAGGTGTGAGCCATAGACGGCTCCTGAGTGCTGGAAGGAGAGGGCCCAAGGGACTCAGGGGCCTTGGCCGCTCCTCGGAGTGAGGAAGAAGCAGCGCCGCAGAACCAGCGAGGAGGAGGGGCTGCCGCGATAGCTTCTGCCTCCTCAGAGACTCAGACAGGAGGTGTTTGTCGGGAAGGCCACGGAGACCTCCCCTGATTTCAGGGGGATTCCGAGGTCAGCGTCTTAGGAAAGAAACTTTGGGGGAATTAAAGGACACATTCAGGCCTGTCCCATCCTGCGCTGGGTATGGCATGGATGCTCCAGTTACAGGACTGGGATATGAGAACACACACCACACAGTTAATGTGCTCCCAGTCCTGGGTCCTGAGGGCTGAGGCCCTGAGGCCTCTGAGGATTTTCTTCCTGGTCTGCAGGCTACCTTTCTTCTCCTCCTCCTCCTCCTCCTCCTCCTCCTCCTCCTCCTCCTCCTCCTCCTCCTCCTCCTCCTCCTCCTCCTCCCCCTCCTCCTCCTCCTTCTCCTTCTCTTTCTCCTTCTCCCTCCCATCCTCCTCTTCCTTCTCCTCCTTCTTCCCCTCCTTCTCTTTCTCCTCCTCCTCCCCTCCTCCTCTCCTCTTCTTCCCTCTCCTCCTCCCTCCCCTCCTCCTCCCTCCCCTCCTCCCTCCCCTGCTCCTCCCTCCCCTCCCCTGCTCCTCCCTCCCCTCCTCCTCCTTGAGACAGGTCTCACTATGGATTCCTCCACAGCCTGAAGCTCACTGTGTAGACTAGGCTGGCTTTGAACTCGCAGATTAAAGGTGTGCCATCATGACTGGCACTTACTATCTCTCTGTGTCCTTTCCTCTGTATGTGTCTGTCCATTTTTCTTATTATATTGCATGTTGAACCACCCAGATAAACTCATTCTGTTCTTCTTCCTCTCTCTGTTTCTCCAGGATCTTATGTAGCCCTGACTGACCTTAAATTCACTATGTAGCTGAAGATGACCTTGAAGTTTTGATTCTTCAGCAGCATCCCCCAGGTGCTGGGATTGCCTGTGTGAGCCGCCTCGGTGCTGGGGAAAGTAAGCACTCTGAGGCAGGATAGAAGGATGGGGAAGTGTGGGCACAGAAGAAAGCAAAGGAGCCCCGCTGGGCGGAGCACTCACCAGCAGAGAGGGGAGGATCCTGTACGATCAGCACCTCTTACGGCCTTTCTCCCCCACCAGCTATCGACCTTTGGCTTTTTAGGACTTTTACCAAAAACTTCATTTATAGAGAAAGGATATACTAAACTGCTTGAGAAACGTCGTCAAATTATAATTGCAAACAAGACATCTCCATCACCACCACTCATTTATCCAGAAGCGAGAGGAACAGGGAAAAAGAACCCTTCCTTAGTAACCTCTGCACTGTAACTGGAAGGTGTGACCTGAAGATGGTCCATTGAAGATGGTTCATTGCGGAGTCCCCTGAGCACCTGGTGTGTCTTGCTTTCCTCCGCTCTCCCTGTATGTCCTCACTGAAGTCTTCCTCTCTTTCTCCTAACCCTACGTGTAATCCTATATTAAAGTATCTTTAATAAAAATCTCTGTTTGGCAGTGGTCGTGCACACCTTTAATCCTAGCACTTGAGAGGCAGAGGCAGGTGGATCTCTGTGAATTTGAAGCCAACCTGGTTTACAGAGTGAGGACAGCCAGGGCTACACACAGAGAAACCCTGTCTGGAAAAACCTAAAATTAATTAATTAATTAATTAATTAATTAATTAATTAATTAAAATGAATAAATAAATTTTGTCCACTTCAGACTGGCTAGTCCTGAAATTTTATTCTTCACAAGCCTCAGTTTGGCATAAGTTGGGGTCTGTAAAGAACTAAGAGAATTTTAAGATGGAGAAAGGGGACATGTCTCTAAATGTCCTTCTCAGAGGTGATTAAAGCTTAGCTATATTCTCAGCCTCCTAACTGACCTGATTTTAACAGATTGTCTTTTTGGAGACCCTGTCACCATGTACTGTCAGGTTCTCAGGTTCTGGAGCTAAGCACATAAATAATAGATTTAGTGATACCAGGCACACGTATGGCATCCCATGCTATTTGGAGACAGGCCAGGTCAGACAGAAGCCATCAGCACCTCCTCCAGGGAGCCCTCCAGTTAACCACTTCTTCAGGAACAATGAGCCCTAGGCTCCCTGGGTGGAACTGCCAGTCTAAGCCTCAGAGGTGCCCAGCTGGACCTTTCCTGCCAGCTCAGCCTAGCCTGCCTGTCACTCCCTCTAAGGTGGCTGCCCTGCGCTCAGCCAGCCTCCCACCACCTGGGGAGACCAAGGTTGTCTTCAAGTCAACCTTGAAGGTTGACTCTCCACGTCCGAACAAATGACCTCAAGTCTAGCCTTAGAGTCCGAGCAGTCCACTCTGGTGTCCTTCTGCCTCTGTCCCTGTGCTGCCTCGGGAATGCTGCCGGGCTTGCTCCAGAGTCTCGCTCGCTGACCCCCAGGCCAAGCAAGCCAGTGAGGCTGGGATGTTTTCGTTTGTTTGTTGTTTGTTTCATTTGGTTGCTGTTGGTTGGCCGGTTAATTCTGTTTTTGTTTTTTTTTTTTTAAGAACTTTTCAAAAAGGTAGAAGTTTAAATTATATAGATATTAAAGTTATTGTGTGTGCAGGAGGAGAACAGATCCCCTGGAGCTGGGGTGGTTGTGAACCATCGCGCAGGAGCTGGGACTGAACCCTGCATCTTCTGCAAGCACAGCAGGTCCTCCCAACCTCGGAGCCATCTCTCCAGCCCCAATTTGTCTGTGTGTGTGTGTGGGGGGGTACTTTGCCTACACGCATGCCTGTGCATTCCTGGTGCACAGCCTCTGGGACAGGAGTTAGAGACAGTTGTGTGGCACCATGTGGGTGCTGGGACCAGGCTTAGTGCTCTGCCCGAGCAGACGGTTCTTTCCTTTTTTTGAGACAGGATTTCTCTGTGTAGCCTTGGCTGCCTTGGACTCACTTTGTAGACCAGGCTGGCCTCAGACTCATAGAGAGCTCACAGAGCCCACCTCTACCTCCTGAGTGCTGGCTTTTTTCCCCCTAAATAAATGATTTTTATTTTAAGTACATTGGTGTTTTGCCTGGATGTGTGTGAGGCTGCTGGATCCTCAATGGAACTGGAGTTAGAGGTGGGTGCTGGGAATTGAACCTGGGTCCTCTGGAAGAGCAGCCCATGCTCCCAACTGCTGAGCCATCTCTCCGGGCCACAGGTGACCCTTTTAACCCCTGAGCCATTTCTTCAATTCCAAGTTGGCTGGTGTTTTGAGGCAAGGTCTCAGATAACTCATGCTGCCCTCAAACTTGCTGTGTACTTGAGGATGAACTTGGCTCCCTGCTCCTCCTTCTATCTCCCAAGCCCTGGGGCTACAGGAACCTGCCCTCACACCAAGAGACAGGGACCTGCCCTCACACCAAGAGACAGGAACCTGCCAGGAACAAGACCAAGGGACTTGTGCTGTTTCTTCTGCTTTCTCATGTCCCTTTCCCCTGGCTTTTTCAGTAAAATCCCAGCGGAAAAGTCCCAGCCTAGTCTGAGGGAAGCACAGGAAAGGGGCAGTCAAATTGAAGTCAACAGAAGGCCGTGGACCGGGCAGTTGATAGGGAGAGGCGTGGCTAGGACACCAACCGATCTTCAACCCCAGTTCCCCCCGACCCTGGGAGAGGCATCTCTGTCTCTGAGCCTTATATACCCATTAAATGGGATTATTTCTGGAGTGAAGTGAGTTCACCTCACCTGAGGACCTGGCTTCTGGGTAGGCAAGAGCAGGAAGGACCCTCCACAGATATTCGCCTGTGTTGGGGTCAGTTGCTAAGGGACTCAGTCTGGAGCCCAGTGTAAGACAAGAGAGGCAGAGTTCACCCTCTGCCCCTGGCTGCTCCGGTGTACGGCTGCTCCAAGGTAGGGGAGAGGGTGGATTGTGCCCCTATCTCTCGGAGGTCAATTTGCAGCCAGCTGAACCACCTAAACGCACCAGGCCATGGGGTCGGCTGTTTTATGTAGTGACCGCGGCGTGCGCCAGAGGGAGCCACAGGGCGCTTTCAGGACTCCCGCTGAGGAGGGGCAGGGCTGGGCGGCTGAGTGGGTGTGGCGTCCGCTCTGGCCCCACCCAGGCTCTGTCCCACTGCTTGGGGAGGAGTAGGCGGAGGTCCCACCCTCCACGCCCCCTCTAGCTCTCCGACCTAGTGAATGGGTCGTCTCCACTCCGGAGCTTCCACGGAGTAGTGGACCACGGGTAGACCACGGAGACAGCCTGGGCTTGGGGCGCAGGAGATCCCCTCTCAGGGTCCTGGACTTGTCTTCTGTGGGACCCTGTTTAATTGGTCATAATCCTGCCCTGGAGAGAGGTGGCGTCATCCCATTGCTCCGTTCTGCTCTGCTTCCCGAAGTGGGCAGCACTTCCGGCCAAAGGTCAGCCCCTGCTGCCCCCCCCCCCCCATTTCCTATTCTCACTGCCTTTGCTCAGAACCGGCTGTGGGACCCACAGGAAGGGCTGGGGACAGGGAGGTCCTTGAAGGACAACAACACTTCTAACTGTGAACCTGGGTAGGGCCAGGAGGCATCCTGGGCGCTGGACCCACAGCGCCCACGGATTTAAATTTAAAGCAGACTCCCAGGCGAACTTCCGCACCTCCCCTCCCACCTCTGGCGTTTGGGGGCCAGGCTATATTTAGAAAGAAGGCGGGCTGGAGAAACTGCTTTATTCATCTTGGAGGTTAGCGAAGAGGCCAGGAGAGAACAGAAGGCCTGTGTCTCCATCAGCTTACCAGCTCACCCAGAGTGGGGCCTCGGCCTGGGGGCTTTGCTGCGCAAACATTTATGGAAACTTTCAAGTGGCTAGGCCCTGAACTCCCTCAGGCCTGTCTCAAGGGAGGGCAGCACACCTAAAGAGGGGGGCCTAGACATGGTCAGCGTTCTGCTACCCAGGCTGGCCCTGACTAGGTACCATCGCACCCACCCCCATTCAGTGAGACAGAGCCAAGAAACTTTGTCCTTATATGGTTGTGGAACAGGCCATTATTTAAAGGAGGAGGAGGTGCGTGCCCACCCAAGGTCCCACATGGGTCCTAATGGCAGTTTAGTGGATTACTAGCCTGAGGGTCGCCTCCATTACCCTGGCCAAAACTAGCCCAAAGCACCTCTTTTTCACATAAATTTTCTTATCTGTAAAATAGAAGTTTTGCAAGGTGGGGGGGGGGGGGGGGGGGGAAGGCGCAGGTCTGTAATGCCGGCACTCAGGGAGGCAGAGGCAGGCAGATCTCCGTGAGTTCAAGGTCAGCCTGGGTTTACAAAGTGAGTCAAGGACAGCCAATGCTACTCAGAGAAACTCTGTTTTGAAAAGAAAGAATAAAAAAAAAAAAAAAAAAAAAAAAAAAAGGATTTTTGCAAGGAATTAATGAGGTCCAGGATGGAGGAAGACTCCTTACCCTAGCTACCATCCTTATGCCCTAATGGACCCAGGATGGAGGGCACAAGGGGTGCCTGGCCCCCAGGAGATCTCCAACAGGAGTGGGAGGCCACCAGGAACAGTGGCCGTGGGCAGTCTAGCTGAGGAAAAGCAGCGAGAGGGTCCCTGGGCAGAGACAGTAGAGGAGTCCACTCTGCAGCCCTGCACAGACCCGCCCCTGGAGCCTTCTGCCTCTGCTCAGCCTGCCTTTCCCCATCCCAGGCCAAGCACCAAGCCCCCGAGGTCTTACCCACCCCACACTCAGCCTAGGTTCTTAGGAGAGATCAGAAAGCCACCGGTAGAACCAAAATTGTCCCTAGCACCTCAAGTACCCACCAAGGGTGGCCGTAGCTGCCAGGAAGGGTGCCTTTATTTCTGCTTCAAACCACTGGACAAAGAGGGGTATCCTCCAGATCTGGGCCAGGGGGCACAAAGGCAGGGGTGGAAGTCCTGGCCACACCTAGTCAGGCAGGAAGCTTGGTGAGCTGGGTGTCCTGGTGGGCCCAGCCTCTTCTGTGAATCAGCTAGTCGTTTTGGGATTGAGGCCTTCTCAGCGGTCAGAGAGCAGAGCCTGTCGTGCCCTCATCTGTTACGGGACCAGGAAATGCCTGCGGCCCAGAGCTGGCACCCTGGATGCCATCGTCATCATCTGCTTCCTTTCCTGGTGCTCCTGGTGGACTCGGGGAAGGAGCTGTAAAACAGAACACCACAAAGGTGCAGAGCAGCAGCTGGATCGGTCCTGGGGCTAAGGTGAGCTTTGGCAGGCATCTGGGCGGGGCAGTCACTTCTTCCCTGGGGCTGATGGGAAGGAAGGAGCGATGGCTGCTTTGTTTTATTGCAAGGGAAGAAAGATTAGGCCCAGCTCTGGGAGCCAGAGCAGCCCTCCCCAACCCTGCCCTGTGCTTCAGTGAACAGATGGCAGAGAGAAGGGTGATAGACCGATAGCATCCCCCGAGCCCACGTCTCTGTGGTTACCTAAGGGCCGGTCTCTGCTGCTGCCACCGTCTCTGCTGTTGGTCTAGCGGGGGTGAGGGAGCTCTGAGCAGAAGTGGGGGCAATGGGCACAGACCCCTTCAGGCCCAAGCTGCATAAGGGCTACTCCCAGGGGCCGAGCTCTGGGAGGAAAAGGGTTTGTGGGGCTCTAAGCTTCCCTCAGTTCCTCACAAGGAGAGAGCTGCTCCAGGGGCTTCAGGGAATAAAGACCAGGGGACAGCTCATCTGTCATGTGTTGTGAATGTAAACAGGGTCTTGTTTTGGCCCCAGGTGTGGGATGTGGGGCTGATTCAGATGGTCCACAGCAGCAGACTATTTGCCTCATGTGGGCTCTGAGAGAAGCTCTTTGCCAGTTGCAGATAGTTTAAATCTGAGGACTTTGAAGAGAGAATAAATGCCAGAACCCAGAGAATGTTGGGAGGGCTCCGAGAAAGGAGGAGGTTGCTGTTCCCCCCTGCTGCTCCTGGTTGCTGTTGATGCACTTTGAGAAGAGTCAGAGATATCCAGAAACAAAGATTGGACTTGGCCCAAGGAACCTGACGACTCTAACCAGCAGGATGTATCTAAGAAAAACTATGCCCCTCTCCCCACTAACCCTTTCTCTCTCCTCTCTGGTGTTAGGGTATTGGAAGGGGTTGGAGTGGAGTAGGGAGAAAGAGACATAGGAAACGTAAATAAAATAGTATAAAAAGCAACGTCAACACTCATGCCCATAGCTTTCAGTGGCTTGGGAGCCACTCTGGAGGCCTCCACTGCCAGCCTGCTGGCTCTGAGGACTGACCCCTCCTATCTCACCCTCCTCTAGAAGATCCAATCTTTCACCAAGGCACCCGCTGCCGAGACATGAGGAACTCACGTTCCCAAATATGCTTTGGTACCCTGGCCCCTCCAGGTCCTTGTGGGCAACGTGCACTCTTCCAAAGATCTCAAGTCAGGGAAGAAGGGAGAACAGAGAGCAGGCTGGATGGTAGGAAGTGAATGAGCATCTCTCAGGTGCCAGGCCTGGTGCCAAAGGTGTGCATAAGGGCCAGGTACAGATGGGAGGAAGGATGGCAACAGGAGGGTGAAGGCCAGAGCATCTGGCACTGAGCAGGTGCTCCGGGTGTCGGGTGTGAACTAGTTTGGGGCCCTCACACCTACTGCAAACACAGACAGGAAGTGGGGTGCGTTCCCGAGGCAGGTGAGAATGTCCTCCCGCTTACCAGCAGCAGCCTGGATCTGAGGGGTAACCCTCTGGGTGCCCTCAGGTGGCCAGCGCAGCTCCCCGCTTTCCACAGCACCCACTTCAGTAGGTTCCACCACAATAGAAGGCAGCCGCTGGCAGAGCCGAGGGCCCTTCTCCCGGACACCTGCCACAGCCTGGAGAGAGAGTGGGGATCAGGGCAGTACTGGGCCATGGCCTCCTCTGCCCTGTCCTCCGAGGAAGGCCAAGAACAGGCAGGGTAACCAGCCCCTGCCTCTTCCCCCACTCAGAAGTAAGCACCCAGGGAACACTGTAGAAGTCACCTGGGCTCAGACCCAGAGAACCCCGTCTCACAGGTAGAGCCCGAGACGGTAGGGACCAATCACTCAGGAGTGGCCCAGGACTGAGCACCCCAGGTGCTTCCTGTACCTGGAACCCAGCACAGTTCCTTTCTGGGCGCTTCCCTGCTGGGTCCTTGGCCTCCTCCCTCCACATGGCAGGCCAAGGAGCTAGGAAGATGTTGCCATGGCAATCAAAGCCGGCTCCTGCTCATTGTTCAGTGCCCACACGCCCTCTGGGTGCCCTCAGCAACTCCACCTCCCATTCAAGGCTTTTCAAGGCTGAGGCTTTCTCACACAGCTCCACCCCTAGTGCTCTGAGGCCCTGGCTGGTCTGCGAGGCCCCACCTCCGTGCCCTCCTGGAGTTCTGGAACAGATAGGGACCTAGTGTATGTGCCTTCCCATAGTGCACACAGCCCTCTGGGGAGGGCAGGCACGCTGTTAACCACTGTTGCTGCATGGCTGCTCAGGACCAGCGGACACTGGCTTCCCACACACGTCCACTCTCTCTACCCAGGATGCTTTTAGCCCAGCACTGCAGGTGACCCTGAGGTCTGAGAACAGATGTCACAAGGCTGGAAATGAAAGAACAAAGGGCTCAGAGCAGGGACCCCATCCTGCCCCCGAAGCTGGACCCTCCGGGGGCTGGGATTGCCAAACCAGGCCTCCTTCCCCATCCTGGCTCCCTCCTTACATGCTGTTTTACTTCTTGTCCCTCAGCCAGGGGTTCTGCCCGGAGGGTGGGTGCCCAGTATGGTAAGATGGCCAGTAAGACTGCGCCTATGAGTCCAGAGTCTAGGCTGTGGCTATTCCTTCACTGGCTCCAACAACCTAGCCAGCTCCAGAACAGAGGGCCACGGCTGCTGCTTTGTGCAGACTAGATTCTCATTTAACTTCTGAAACAGGGTCTCAGACCCCAGACTGGCCCGAAACCCGTGAGATAGCCACGGCTGCCCTTGCTCCCTCTGACTCCTTCTATAGACTACTGGGATTACAGGGGTGCATCAGTGTACCCCACTACAAACGTGAGCATCTTGCTGCATCGACCTCCCTGCCCCCAAAAAACACTGGATCTGAGGGCACCCTATAATTGCACCACCCTGCAGAGAGCAAAGCGTGGTCCTGCTCTTGGGGAATGGGCGCTGGTGTCCCGAGGTCCAGAAGGGGCGCCATTAGCACGGTGGCTTGCGGTCAGTTGCTCTGTCCACCAACTTTCTGTAAAAATAGCAGTGGCCGCCAGGTGTGGTGGCTCATGCTGCTGATCCCAGGGCTCAGAAGGCAGAGGCAGGCGGATCTCTGTGAGTCCGAGGCCAGCCTGGACTACAAATCAAGTCCAGGACAGCCAAGGCCACACAGAGAAACCCTGCCTCAAAAAAAAAAAAAAAAAGCATCCCCACATGGAAGGGTAAACTGAGGCTGGCAGAGCTGGAGGCCAGCTCCCTCATGTCTCCTCCCCCTCCACCACTTACCTGTCCTGCTGGGCCTCTTGTGCCCTCGGTAGGACTCTCTGAGGCAGCTGACTGCGGGGCGCTCATGCTGCCGACTGCTGCGTTGGGCTATACAAAGACAAGAGCAGAACTGAGGCACCCACTGCTGGGTGTCCTCCTCCCCCAGGGACCCGCCCCGCCCCCGCCTAGCCCAGTGCTCACAGCTCCGGCCTGGTCTTTCCATGCTGCTCCCACCCAAGACCCCATCTGAAGAGCACAAGAGAACAGGACAGCTGCAGAGCACCCAGGGCCACAGAACCCTGGGGGGAGATTGACCCAGCCTTGAGAGCCTGGAAGTCTTCCCGGAGGAAATCAGCTGGCCCCAGGCCTCTCTGAGGGATCGGCAGCAGATCGTCAGGGCAGCAGAAATCATGGCAGACCCGAGGAACCCAAACAGGTCTGAGTCAGGAGGCTGGGAGCACCTGGGACTGAGCCAGCCAGACGCCGAGGTGCTGAGTTCCTCCCCAAGAACACCCCTTTACCCACAGACCCCTGGGGCCATGCCCTGAGAAAAGCGGACATCTTGCCTGCACACAGCCATGCCTACCCAGGCCGGGCACAGGTTGGGGAGGCTGGTCAGAGCCTTCACAGTGAGGGTGGTGGAAAAAAAGGCCCTGCCAGAAACCATCCGTCCACCCTCAGACTTTGCCCAGAACTGCAGCGGGGTGGGCTCTTGGGACCCAGCCCAGGCCAGAGGAGAATGAAGAGTGAGGGCTGACAGGCGCTGGCCGGATTTTGGACGGGCGGCACAGGGCCACCGGCTATAGGCCTGGGCTCTGGAGGGCAACTGGGCCAAGGCAAAGTAGTGAGTGGCAGGCTGAAATGCCCGAGACACCCTACTGGGACGCAGGTACTGGGGGCCTCCACAAGGTGAACTGCTAGTCCGGAAAATGAGGTTCCTTCTACCTCAGCTCAAGTTCCAAGGAGTCCCAGAGGGTCTGGCAGGGGGACACACCTGTGATGTGTACCCACCGGCCATAAGCAGCCACGTCATACTACCCGTGCCTCCGTCCCGAGCCCCCGGGGTGCCCTGTGGACCACTCCCGGCTGAGACCCCCTTAGGTTCCCGCCTACCTCCGAGTTCTGGGAACCTAGGCTAAGCCCGGAACAGAGACCCAAAGAGATGTCTCAGAGACAGAGGGAGGGGGGAGTGACCACAGAGGCCATGCAAAAAGGTGACGGAGGGGAAAGGGGCAGAGAGGGAAAATCTGGGGAGCCAAGGTAGCAGTAAGGATGGCGCTAGGATCGGGCAAGTGCCCACAGGCTGCCTCGCTGTGCCCGGTGCCGGGTGTCCCATGCCGCTGCGCCGGGGATGCCGCCCACACCTCCATCCGCTCTGGGGGAAGCCGGCCAGGTGTGGACCGCAGGCGCTGGGGGGCGCGGGGGGCCGGGCTCCGCGGGGGGGGGGGGGGGGGGGGGGGGGGGGGGTACGACCATGGGACCCGCGCCCGTCCCTTCCTCGGGGGTGCTCCCACCAACTCCTAGGAGCGCTTGCCCTCCTTCCCAGCCCCGGCTGCCAAGGCGCGCCCGGGGGCGGGGCGGAGGGGGGACGGAGCCTGAGGGTGGGGAGGGGGCGCAGCGCCCACCCGCACAGCCACCGCCACTCACCGGCGCTCGCTCGCGGGGCCTCCACGCTGGCTGCGAGCTCGCCTCCCTCGGTCCTCCTCCAAGCTCTCCGCCCACACGCGCTCGCTCGCAGCGGCCTCATTCACACTCCCGCCCTCTGCTCTGCAGGCCACAGGAAGAACCTGGCCTCCGCCTCCCTAGACACCACCCTAGCCCAGAACCAGGTCCTGGCCACTTCAGTCCCCTCTCAGTCTCAAGGTTAGGATGGGAGGTGTGGCGTTATGTGGAGCCAGGTAAGAAGAGGGTTTTCTCTGCTGGGCAACCGAAGGGGGAAATGGAGAGGACGGAATGTGGGGCAGGTTGGGGGGGGGGGTGCCACGTTCCTTCTCACATATTCAGCCCCAGTCCCGTTCCTCTTAAGCTGCTGAGTGACTCGGGACAGTCGGTCTGATGAACAACTGTCACCCAAGGCCATAGAGCAACACCAGGCACACAATGCCCCTTCCATGATCCACTGCGGGCTCTCTAACGGCCGTTTCTCCCAGAGACCTGCCATCGACACCCACATCTAGCTATCCAATCACCACGCGCCCCAGAGTTCAACAGCAGCCATGCTCGGCCAGTCCACCCTTCCCTTCCCACCAGCAGCCCGTCCCCATCCACCCCTCAGCCGCCGACACCAGCCCACCGTCCCCACCTGGCAGCCGTTCTGCACACACCCATGCTCGTCCTAACGTTGCACCCCGAGTCTACCCCTCAGCAGTCACACAGCCACCCGTGAGGCCTCCATCCCCTTCTTTCCGTGTATTCACAGCCATCCTGATATCACCCGACGTCCAGTGACTGTGAGCACCGGATTGCTTCACCCGTCCAGCCGCTCGGTGTTTACCATCCACACACAATTCTCGAAACACCAGCACAGGACACGCCCACCCAAAAGACAGTGTTTTTACCATCCTTCACCATCTCTCCAGAATTACCCAGGATGTGCCAGGCTTCCGCCAGGTAACGGCGTCATGCTTCCATGCACAATGTGCCTAACTCCAACTGTGAGTTTACTATCTGTGTACTCTCCGTGTGTCCTGAGCTACCTACCAGCTGTCCAGTCAGTCACGGTCCCTGACCTATAACTGAGCCCTCAGCCGTCATCCGTGCCCACCTCCATCCGTCCACCCACTGGCCTCACCCTCACCTATCATATGTCTACTTGTTCCATATCCATTTTCTGCCATAATTCACTATTAATCCCAAGTCTATCCAAGTCTAAGTGTCGTGACCATCTCTCCGCTCTTCTGTCTTGGAACATCCCACCTCTGTGCCAAGCATAGGCGGTGGGGAGAGAGAGACAGCCGTGAGCTCACCCGCCCCTGCTCACTCGCCACTGAAACCTCCCCGCTAGCCAACCAGTCAGCACCCACACATCGCCCCACCGGGACCATCGTTGGCTATCTACCGTCAGTGAGCTCTCATGATCCGCTTGACATTGACCCATCTGTACCCTGAGTCACCCGCTGTCTCCACACCGCTCCCTGCCTTCCAGTCAGCCGCCGTCCCCTTGCTATCTGCCCGTCCACCTTGCATGAATCCAGTTTTCCAGGAGGAGGTCACCTACCGTTTGCCCTGCTCCGTGTCACCACGTGACATCACCTGCCCACCCCACGTCATTCACTCTCCATCTTCTCTCTGTACTTGGTCCACTTTCTGAGCAGTCAGCAGCCATTTGCCATCCATGACGGTTACTCCTGGTTGTACACTTAACAGGGCCTGGAATCAGCTGAGAGGCAAGGCTATCAGGGAGGGGTTTTCTTTCGTTTGTTTATCTTCATTTTGCGTCTATTGGTGTTTGACTGCATGTATGCTATGTGAGGGAGCTGGATCCCCTGGAACAGGAGTTACACACAGTTGTGAGCTGCCTTGTGGGTGCTGGGAATTGAACCCGGGTCCTCTGGAACAGCAGTCAGTGCTCTTAACCACTGAGCCACCTCTCCAGCCAGCCCCAGGGATTTTCTTGATTAGGTTAAAAAACTCAAACACCCTAAGTGTACTTTTTGGTGGTGACTCAAATAAAAGAGGTCCTAGGGGGATGCTTTTGCCTGATCGCCTTTACACCCCAATGGTGAGCTCACCCACTTTGTTGCTGCTATGGGGGCGTTGGCTGCCATTTTCACTGGCATCAGAGCCCAACTTCTTTAGTCTCCCAAAGTGGACTGAAGGCCAGTGGCTCCCCAGGAATTCTGCAGGCCTTCAGCATCAGATTAGGACCCAGCCTCATGACTGAAGCTACCAGTTTGCAGCCTCTCCGTGTGAAGATGATCGCTGTTGGACTACCCAGACGGCATCCTGGAAGCTAATCAGATAAATCCCCCTTTAATATACATTCATTCTCTTGTTCCTCTCTGCTATTTCCCATTCACGCCCACCCATCTGCTATCCGGCATGCTCTTATCCATCACTCATGGTCCATCCATCAGTCCTGTACCCATCAACATTTTCCAATTCATTCATTTAAATAGACCCAACTTACTAGTTAGCCACTGTCCATCCGTTTACGATCCATCCATCAAGTGCCCACCGTCCGTTATCTATTTTGCCTGCAGCTCACCTGCTATCTACAGATCGTTCACTGTCTACCTGCTGGCTCTTTATCCATATCCAGCCCACCCTCCAACGGTCTGCCGTTTGTCTGTGGGTCGCTTCTCAGCCGCCCACCTTACACAGATGCTTCCTCCCTCTTCCGTCCACCCACCAGGGGAGCACAGCCTCGTTTCTGGTTCCTACCTGACCACTGTGCATGCGTCCTGTTTACTTCACTCTAGCATTGTAGCCAGCACCCCTCCTCCGCAGCCACCCAGCCACGCTGTGGCTCACGGGCATCCTGCCATGGCCGGCATCCTGCCCTGGGGCCATCTAGGATCCTTCCGTCACTGGCAGTGTTCATCAGTCAACTGTGTTCACCCCCCTCCTTACACCTCTTATTTCCATGATTTACCCTTTTTCTTATTTACCATTTTTCCTCTAGTCCTTCATAAAGCAAACGTTCACTTACTGATAACTATTAAAATTATACCTATAATATATTTTATATATACGGGGCTGAAGAGATGGCTCAGCAGTTAAGAGCATTTGTTGTTCTTGTGGAGGACCCCGGTTCACTTCCCTGCACCCACACAGTGGCTCACAACAGCCCATAACTCCAGCTTGGGGGAATCCAACACCCTCTTCTGGCCCCTGAGAACACCAGGCACGCACATGGTATATAGACTACCTTCAAGCAAATCACTCACACATATAAAATAAGACAAATCTCTGAGAAAAAGTCAGTATAAATAATAAACATTCATGGTTGAGGGTTGGATTCTGAAATTACAAAGGCAAATTAGAGTCAATCTAAATCTATAGTCCGATGATCCAGAAAGAGCCAGCCAGTCAGTGAGAAGCGTGTCTGCATAAAAATGCACACTCCGAGGGTGGAGAGACCGCTCAGTGGGTCCTGCGCTGCTCTTGCAAGGGACCCCAGTTCTGGTACCAAACCCCGTATCAGGTGGCTCATGCCCACTTTGGCTCTGGGGGATCTGACCCCTTCTGACCTCCACAGGCACTCACACTGACCTGCACACAGCCACACACTGGCACAAATGCATTTGTGTAATTGAAAAGAAAAATAAATCTTTTTCTGTTTGTTTTTTCTGAGACATCCTGGACTATCTTTGTAGACTAGACTAGCCTCCAACTCACAGCTATCCACCTGCCTCTGCCTCCTTGAGTGCTGGGATTAAAGGCATGTGCCACCATGTCCAGCTGTAAACCAATCTTTAAAAATGTACTTTGGGGGCTGTAGAGATGGCTCAGAGGTTAAGAGCACTGGCTGCTCTTTCAAAGGTTCTGAGTTCAGTTCCCAGCAACCACATGGTGGCTCACAACCATCTAGAAGGTCTACATGCCAACAGAACATTGGATACATAATAAATAAATAATTTTTAAAAGATGTACTTTGAAGGCAGGTGCAGTGACGCATGTCTGTAATCCCAGCTCTTGGAAGGCAGAGGAAGACGGATCTCCAAGAGTTTGAGGCCAGCCTGGTCTACAAAGTCCAGGACAGCCAAGGCTACACAGAGAAACTCTGTCTTGAAAAACCAAAAATAAATCTATAAATAAAATAGAAAATAAATAAACAAATAAAAATGTACTTTGTACTGAAATTTCAGTGCCTCCATCTCTTGCGTTTGGGATAGGTGAAACACATTGCCCAAGTTCCAGGGAGGGGGAGGGGAGAGAGGCGTCGCAGCGGGGTCTGCAGAGGTCTGGCTTGTACCTGGGCCTGCATGCTGGGAGGCTTGGTGACAGGAGGCAGAGGAGCCATGGGACAGGATCCTGCAGAGGGGCTTGGGGTCAGCCCCAGCTCTCTGTGGGAACGACCGAGAGCTCCCACAGAGCTTGAGGGAGGCCCGTTCTTAGAAAGGACCGCGTTCACACATATGCCCTTCACTCCAGGCACAGGGACCCAAAGGTCAGGACCAGAGGCTCACATGCCAGTCAGTCAGGTGCCACCGCAGCTTCAGCAGGAGATGCCCTTGCAGACATACCCTTGTCAGGCGCCATCCTTCACGACTTCCTTCTCACCTGGGCAGGAACTGCTCCCCTCATTGGTGCAGGCGTAATTGCCAGCTCAAGTGTTAGCTGTCATCCAAGGTGTTATAACAAGAGCATCGCAGCTTGGGGCTTGGCCCTGCGCGTGCTCAAGGCGGTGAGGTATGCGCTATGCTGTAAATGGGTGGGGAGAGGGAGCGTCTACAGAGACAGCACTGAGCCAGGGGTTCCTACAAAGTCACCTTGGGGCTTTGCTTTTTCTCAAATTCTAGGGGTTTCCCACCTTCATGCTCCCACTTGGGGCGTTCCCCACAGAGAAAGGCGAAGCTGGGAGCAGAGTTTTGTGTCTGGGTTGTGCATCTGAGAGAAGCCGAATCACTCCCTGGGCCTCCCTGTCTGATGCCGACTGAGTAAGGGATGGAGCAGCGCCAAGGAAGGTAAGACCTGAGCGCCTCTGACCGCCTCTGCTGGGAAGACCGCGGTGGACGCCGGCTTTGGGCCTGGACGCTTTGCTCTTGTCGCCCCCTGGTGGCCACTCGGCTAAAACACACCCACACAAAATGACACAAGGCGTTGGGGAGTCTCAACAGGGAATATTTGTACCGGTCGCTATAAACTGTACAGCCCTGCATTTTGTCCTCACACTCTGATTTTCTGAGAGAATACAGGTTTTCATTCCGACCTCCTGTGTTTGAGGAAACTGCAAGGAAAACGTCTGGCAGGGCCAGGATGTTCATAGCCAGGAAATGCTAGTTGGCTGTAGAAAGTTTCTGGACATTAGAGTTCCAAACTTAAGAACAAGCTACTTTTAATCAGAGAATTTTACCAAGAGGCGGCCCTAGGGGTTAAGGGGCAGGCGTGCCCTGGGCCCCAAGCCAGGGTAATGTGAGATGCAGAGCTTGGACCCTTGGCCTCACATCAGGACAATCTTCCCTCCCCACAGTGTCCCACAGTGGGGTGGACACAGGAGTAAGCAGGCCTGCCCCTGCCGCAGGACTGGGCCCGACCTCGGAGCAGCTCCAGGGTGGCAGCCTCCGGCTTCAGCACAAAGCCTAGTAGAGAGGCAGCTCGGCCCATCCTCTACTCCTACAGCCCTCTGGGGCCTCACTGCTCCACCCACCCACAATCCACACGTGGACTCCGCCCGGAGGTGCCTTTTCTCTCTCTCTCTCAGTGGGGTCAGGTGAACCTGCTTGCTGTCTCCGTCTCAACCCATCCTGCTCTGGGGCGGGAGACCGCACTGGCTCATGATGGGATGGGATGGAGTGGTGTGAGGCTCATTACATATATCTTTTAAGATTTTACGTGTGTCTTTTTGAGTATGTGCATGAGCGGAGGCCGGCAGAGGGTGTTGGACCCCTTGGAGCTGGAGTTACAAGTGTCCGCAGGCTGGCTGGCTTGAAACTTGTCAGATATATGTCGGGATTTGAACTCTGGTCCTCATGACTGGGCTCCAAGTGCTCTTAGCCACTGAGCCATCTTTTCAGCCCCCACTGTGCTTTCTGAGAACTGTGCCCTGAGTGGTGGCTGCCAGTCTTCAGCTGGGAAGTTCCCCATGGCCATCCTACCCTACCCTACTAACCGGCAGCCCGTGTTGGCAGTGCTGGGGACAGTCCTGCCCCAGGGTCTGTTGCAAGCAAATGGGCAGTAATGGTCAGGGGCCCCTTTGGGTAACAAAGTCCAAAATGTGTGCAGCTCACGCATGCTTGTTTAACACAGGAGCATTCCGGAAAGATACTCAGGGATTCTGGCCAACCCAATGGTACTTCCTGGGTGGCACGCCTCGTCTCTAAGTAGAATCTATTAGGTCTTTTCCCTTAATCACGAAATCCCAGTGAGGATGTCATGAGGCTCCAGGACAGACAGAGGAAGAAGTTAATTAGGCACAGGGAGGTGGGTCTGGGGTCCCAGAGCTGATGGAGGGGTGGAGCTTGCGTTGGAGCAGGTGATGTCTTGCTGATGGCCTGTAGGGGGTCCATAAAGAATGGGTGCGCACATCCCTTTCAGTAACTGGGAACTGTCCCACCTCACCTCAGCGGAGGCCGAGGTCGTCCCCTCCTCCCAGCAGTGGGGGATGGGAGCCATTCGCTCTCAGACGGGGTGGTGAGTGGCTTGCCGCAGGGTGAACAGCCGGAAAAGCTGAACTTCAGTTGTCCAGGCCTTTGCTGTCGACTGAGACCTGGAGAGCTACAGCATTCTCCCTCTCCACGAGCCAGGCCCACGTCGCACACTGCCGCACCACAGCCTGGAGTTTAACAGGCTCTTCTGGTTGACAGAGTCTGCCCTCCAAAAGCCCCCACTTGAAATTCCCTGCACACCTAGAGGCAGAGCCCATGACCAGAGCCAGTCAGCTAGGGCGCGCCACTCCCTGCTCCGGCGGGGACTGCTGGTGGGGGCCAAGCAAGGTTCAGAGCCACTTCCGCTTTGGTTCGCCTCATGCTGAGGGCTGGGGCCCCTAGGCCCCTTCACCCCGAGGCAGCCGTGAAGAACAGATGCTTACAGTATGGCTGACGTGACATCTGAATGCTCTCTCAGAGGCCTGGGCACCCATTTCGTCCTCCCCATCCCTCCCCACGCTGTATGGGACTCAGTGCCACAGGCCCGCATTTCCTCCAGGAGGCCATTCTGGACCGCACGGCAGCACCCCTGGAAAGCACCCCAGCACAGAGGCCACCCTGGGGACGGCTGGGCCAGTGAGGCTGGAGAAAGACCAGGAGCCAAGGTGAGAGACACAGCCTGGCTCAGCCTCAGACGGCGGCAGAGGGAAGGGCGTGGCTGCCCGCATAGCCTGGTCTGCAGAAGTGGCCCACAGTGGGAGCCTCTCTGATGAGAATAATGGCAATGTGGCAGGGATGTGGCCAGCCTGCCCGCAACATCACCTTGGCCCTCTTCAAGCCTTGCAACCTGTCCTGATTAGTTTTGTTGTCAACTTGATACACCTGGAAAGAGGGAGCCTCAGGAAAGGTTCCGCCTCCGTTGGCTTGGCCTATGGGTCTGTCCATGAGGGCATTTTCTGTCTTTCTCTCTACATAGCCCTGGCTGTCCTGGAACTTGCTATGCAAACCAGGCTGGCCTCAAACTCACAGGGATCCACCTGCCTCTGCCTCTGGGAGTGCTGGGATCACAGGTGTGCACCGCCATGTCTGGCCCATGTAGGACATTTTCCTGATTAATGATTAACATGGGAGGGCCCAAGGCCCTGCAGGGGGCACCACCCTGGGCTGGTGGGTCTGGGTTGTGTGTGTAAGGAAGCAGCCTCTTCTTCCATGTCACTCATTCTTCAGATCCTGCCTCCAGGTTTCCACCTCGAGCCCCTGCCCCGACTCCCCTCAGCCAGGAGCTGTGACCTGGGACTTGTAAGATGTACGTACTTCCCTCCTCTGTCATGTCTTTTTAAAACTCTCCTGTATTTGGGGTGTTTAGGCCTCTACCTCCTTTCACCAATCCCCCAACCTTAAGTAGGAGAGAAAAAAGATTAGTGGGTGGAGGGGGCCCAGACCCCTTTTCTTCTTCCGGCTGTTTAGGGTCAAGGGTTCTTTTAGGGCTCTACAGCAATCTCCGGCAGCTGCGGACACGGCTAGCAGCCTCCTCCACGACGCTGCACCCCGAAGTGTGAACCTCCACACCGTCTCTGGTCTCGGATCCCTCCAGACTGCTGCATGCCACACGCCCACACTGAATGCCTGACTGCACGCCATGGGACTCCTACTTATACTTCCAGAGTCCTAGACCACGCCCCTCTCTATACCATGCCTAGAAGGCCGTTACCAGCTGGCAAAGCCACGCCCTGCAGGAGACAATTAACAGCTGTGGACAAACTAGAGCCCAACCAAAATCCCACACTTGGGATTAAAACAAAAGCATTTTTATGTAACATTCAAAGGACCCAGAGCTTCCATTACAGTCCCCTGACTCAGTTTTGATCAGTGTTCCTTTTTTCTTTTCAGACTTATTTTAATTTTATGCGTGTGTCTGTGTGTGTCTGCACATCAATCACGTGCCTGCCTGGGTGCACACAGAAGGCAGAGTTATAGAGTTACAGAGTTGTGAACTTTCTTGTGGATGCTGGGACTCGAACTCTTCCTCTGGAAGAGCAGCCAGTGCTCGAGTGATTGCTGAGCCATCCCTCCAGCCCCTGGTCAGTGTTTTTTACAGCAACGTGGAAAGCCAACTGGGACAAATGGTGGCTGACTCCCGTTGCTGGGCACCTGGGGAGCAAGGTGCTGGCGGGCTGTAATCCTCTCCCTGTGGGACAGCGTCCAGACTAGCTGTCCCTGGGACACTCCCGCTGTCCTCGCTCAGGACTGGAGTGCCGCTACGATTAGGATCTGAGAGCCCAGCAGAAAGAAGCTAGGCCACCAGGGTGTGCTTTCCAAGAAGACACTGGGTCCAGTCCTCTTCCTGTCTCCCTTTCTGCTACCTTGACCCCATGAAATGAAGACTTCATCATGTGTCACATTCCGCTGTGACTCACTGTGCTGCCACAGGCCTAAAACCACACAGCACCAAGTGACCTTGTCTGAGCCCTCTGAAGCCATGGGCTAAAATGAATCTCTCTGGCTCTGAAATCGGCTAGCTCTGGCTATTTGTCATACCAAGGACAGCTAATGAGCTCAGGCAGGAAGGCAGAGGAAGGCATGTGTTCACAGTGCACTAGGCAGCGCTGGGGAGAGGCTGTCACGAGGCCTATCGGCTCTGGCAACGAGCCCAAAGGTCTAGACAGGATCTCAGCCCAAGGCTACCCTGGGATTCCTGACCTCCCCTCGGGGTTCTGGGCTAGGTTTGGGGTCTATGTCTAACAAGTGCTCAGGTACTGTTGCTGGTCCCACTGGAGACCACACAGAGAGTGGCAAGGTGAAGGGATGGCCAGAAGACAAGGACGTCCTCGCCCTGCCCCTCCTGGCTCTCCTAGGTCCACAGCTCGGGCAGGAGCCAGCCTGGGATCCTCCGGGGCCTCCCAGGCCTCTGCTGCTCATACAAGCTTAGGTAAAGATCCAGCTCCTCCTCCACCTCTGAACCCGTAGAGGGCCTCGTGCCCGCCTCAGCCTCATTCCTTATCTGTGCTGGTCAGAGGAAGAGCACGAGCCTGTAGCCCCAGGGGAAGGTGGAACAGTATCCCGGGAATAGCCCAGGCCGCCTCGGCTTCCTCTCTGCAAACCTCAGCTTGCTCTTCAGAGAGTGAGGCAGACCAGACCCTCCCTTGTCCCTCTGCTTCTCACGCAGCTTGGAGTGGAGTCTGCAGAGCGTCTGAGCGCACAGCACAGTGTAGCCAGGAGGAGATATTCTTGACCCAAACGCAGCCTCAGAGCGCCCCATCATCCCTGAGAGAGTGGGAGCTCTGGAAGGTTTTGGAGCAAGGTTGGGAGGCAGTCAGCCCCTCCTTTTCTGAAGATGTCTCTGGCAGTCACTGGGAGAAGGTCAGGCTGCCAGGAAAGTTGTGTGTGTGTGGTTTCCACAGGCTGTGTTAGCC